ATATCATTCCAAACCCATATTATTATTATATTATTCCTTTTTAGAATAAAAAAAAGAGGGATGAGAGGATAATGATTCAAACGGAAAAGGTCCAAAAATGACATAAGTATTTTAAAAGTATTCAGTATGACTCATATACTATATTTTTCTGAAGTCTTTATGAGGAACATATTTAAAGTAGTTGTCCACTAAGAATCCTCCTGGGGGCACAACCCCACACTGAGAGAATGTGAGAAACATCAACTTAAATAGATGATCACATTTGGAACATAGTTTGCCAGTATGAATATTGCCATTTGAATTAAGCAGTAATGCAGTTCTTCAATAGGATTTTTTTTTAATAGACAATGGCATCAAACATATTACTGCTGTTGTAACCCCCACTTGTCCTACTCACACCCGCTTCGAGCAGGACTCGAGCCCAGGTTGCCAGCATGGGAGGCAGGTGCACTTACAAGGAGACTAAAGATCACAGCCTCTTGCATTAGTTGCTAGTGCGCCTCTTATGATTAGGGGAGTGAGGTTGCACAGCACCTACCAGCTGGCCTCCGTTACACTATCATTTATTTTGAAATATCCATGATAAAATAATTGCTTTTATGAATAAATGACACAAGTATGATTTATGTTGCAGTTGTTCTGAAGAAATGAACACAGCTATGTTACATGGAAAAAGAAAGAAGACTGCAGTGTTGGATCAACATGTTTAAATCTGGCCTTCAACACTATGTCTATCTATATTTATCTATACATAGGCAAAAAAAAAGGAATGTTAATTCCAGGCTCAGAAGACCATTTATCCAAGTCAGGTTAGCAGTCACAAAAAAAAAAAAAAAATGCATTCATGACCGACCTCGTTATAGTCAGGATTTACGGGAGTGAGACAATCCAATTAGTTTGAGATGGAGCTAAAACATATTCTTAATTTCATTAATATTCTATCAGAGGCAACGTATCGCTGCACAGCGGGACTTAAAGATTCTCCACCATGCTCTCTAAGCATCTCTTCAGCCACCTCATCTGCTGCTTCATTAACCTTTGTCTTCCCAGAAACCTCCACTCTTATGCTTCAAGTCACTGATAGGAGCTTGACATACAGAATCAGAGGAAAGATACGGAGGTGGATTTTGCAAGGCTGCATGAGAAAAGAAGATAAAATTAATTGCCCTTGGTAATGTGGGACTCACATTATAAAAGTCGGCAAGGCCAACACAGACCATCCTTAATTTAATCTTAAACTGGAATTTCTTGTTCTTGAATTATCTGCATTTCACTTCATAGTGCTGATCAAAGCTTTGTAAAGTAGGTGTACAAAATACCAAAATCTGTATTTCATCTTTTAACTACATTTCGTTGGAGCATCCGCAATGTCTCACGCTCAGATTTGTTTCTTTTCTTTGCTGTATGTGTCTTCTCCTGTTCCTTCCATCTATTTCCACACAACTGAAGATCAAACGACAGTGAGCGGGACACACGCACACCTTCACGCATCTACATATTGTATTATCAAATGTCTGTTTCAGGTAAAGAAGTGCAGATGGAGAGGCATTAATCCATAACAGCTTCAAAGCATGTGACAGCTTGTATGACTGATATGTGTGCTTTCTGTTCAGTCTGGTGTATTCTAGCAAAATCTGAACATGTCTGACTTAAAGGAACAGTACCCAGTTTGCACCTGGTATTAAAACCTGTCTTAGATGTGTCTCGGGTGATCATTGTTTTGAGGGAAAGGTGTCTGACTTCATGGCTACATACTGTATGTCTCTCACTGTGTTGGTAAAACACAAAAATAATGTATGTAGTTGTTGTTGGTGGTGCTGTGTTTTTTTGCCATTTTTTTCGCTTTTAACTGATTTAAAGTTTAAAACTGTGTTAGGGAAAATTATTTTTAGATTGCATTAACTCTAACAAATGCAATCTGGCCACATATATTTTCGACTGCCTCTGAATGTGGTATGAATGCTTGGTTTGAATTTACTCTTGGAATTACACTGTAAGAGTACAGTCACGTTAGCGATATTTCAGCAAAATTTAATGGAAATAAACAGGTCTGTTGTCAATAGCATAGCATACAAACCACTGCTCACATAGAAGTCATTTTCAAAGCAAACTGTTTTGTTGGTCAGCACAGCAAATTTGTGAAATCTATGTGGGGAACTTTTACGACCTCATGCGAAACTCTCAAACGTGTGGATTCCTATTGAAATGACTCAATTTCACCTACACAATTTCCCAGAGCAACAATAAATGTGACGGTAAAACAAATACTTTTATAAAAAGGTAAGAAAGAGATGGATCTTTAAATAACCTTTGACTGAATGGTTCTTTGTGGAATCAAAAATGGTTCTTCTATGGCATCGCTTGAAGAACCTTTTGAAGCACCTTTATTTTTAAGAGTGTACCTTTCTATCAAAGTTATCTGACATTATCAAGCTGAGTTTTTGTCATATTGTATTACCATTTTCTAAACTAGAGTGAATAAACCTGTGATAATGTGAGAAATGTTGAAGGTGTCTGAATAACTTTTGGTTTCATCTGCAATGAAAATATTGGTATCGGTACTCAGTATCAGCAAGTACCAAAAATAAAAGTATCGTATCGGGCGAGTACTGGAAAAAGTGTTATTGGTGCATCCCTAATGAATTGCTTAAAATTAGAAATTATTACATTATATATATATATACATTAACATATTTATACAACAGTTCGTTCTGGTTCTCAAATCTGATTGGTTGAGAACCATGAGATATTGTACTGGTATCGCTACAGGAACGCCCTTTCACAATTTTGTATCACTCCGCTTGTTCTAGCCGGGTCTATGTTTTTTTTTATTATTCACTGAGCTAATCGTAGAGTACGTTAGTTAATATAAGAAGAAACGTCTAGCTTCGCGGTCTAGTAGTTCCGCACAAAAGAGGGCTTTATTAGGCACTCCGTTGTTTCTTGTTTAATTACACACGTTCTGTCAAACTGTTCAACCAACAGTTTAACGGAACGTACTCGAGTACGAAAGCGATACCGGCTCTATATCAGTGGCTGTGATTGCCTCCGGCACTCAGCCTGCGGCCTCGTGCCTCTGGCCTAATCACAGCCATGCTGATGTAGAGCCGGTATCGCTTTCATACTCAAGTGATATTGCTCATATATATACACCACTCACCGGTCTCGAGTCCCACGGAGGAGCTCATGGGTCATGTTGGTTGAGTTGGCAGTAATGATTGATGAGCTGGTCTTCTGGGTTCCAGCCACTATGGTTAGCATTAGCATGTTCCGTTTGACGAATGGGCAGTCGAGCTCTGCTGCCCTGCACTACTCAATAATACTATTGGGGCCCTGGAGAGCTGTGTCAAAAACGCAATTGAAATGGAAACCAAAAGTGGACAAGTTTTTATGTGCCAGGAAAGAAACAGGGCAGGTCCTTGAACAAGTCGCATTGACCCGTATTACATCAGCAAGAGGGCTATTGATCTGATGATATAATCGAAGTTTGTGTCCATAAAGTTTCTATGAGGAGAGTTAAGATCCGGTCTTTATAAGCTTTACAAACCCAGTGGAACAGAAAAAAAACGAACCTAAAGCAATTCAACCATTTAGTGATGGTGTAAACCGTGGAGCTCAAACACACAATCCTTAGACCCCGACACATCCAGCTCTCTGTCAATGATAAGGTTTGGAAACAGTTCAGCCTCGCTCATTCAATTATATTTGAGGCTGATTATATTTATTTATTTATTTTCGAAATTGGCACAAACTTAAGACTGGCGGCACTCTAAAACAGAAAAGGAAAAAATAGCTCTAGGGAAATTATAGATTTAACGGTCTGACTGCGCTTTAGGGTGAGTTAAAGTGCGCACGCTCAGGCCATAATGAATTACTCATTGGAGTGTGTTACAAGATTGACAGCGTTAAAGAGATTTATGTTTGTGATCCACTGCGATTATGATAAGATCAGACCAAGCAAATCAGGGATTGGAAATGAAGATATCACATTTAACACGAGGCAGTGCTGCCACAACTTTAAAAGCGTTCATTAAGACTTGTAAATTAGGAACATGATTTGTGAGTTCATCAAATGTATGAGCTTCCTGTCTTGTATATGAAATACAAATTGAGATGCAGTGTTGATGTTTGTTTATTTATTTTAATTGTGATTGACTTGTATTTTTTTTTAAAGAAACATTTCAGGTTCAATACAAGTTAAAATCTGTCAACTGCATTAGTGGCTGTATTGCCACGGTTCATTTGATGTTTCATATTTATATTGCATATATAAAAAATGTGTTTTATATGACATATGTATTGTAAAGGATACAATAAATGAGGCTACAATTGAGGCAACATTTATAAATACAGTAATAATTACTATTTAAAATAAGTGTTTAATATATTAATCTATTTTAATAATCTAATAACATGTATTTGTTTAATTAATTTATCTATTTAATTAATCTATCTACTAATCTATTAAAGAAAAAAATTCCTGTAATTGCAAAACTGAATTTTCAGTAACCATTAATTGTCTCCATTTTTCAGTGTCACATGATCCTATATACATATATATATATATATATATATATATATATATATATATATATATACACACTGTAGAGAGAGAGAGAGAGAGAGGGCGGCAGGAAATTGTTAAAAAAAATCTATAAATATAATAATTACATTTATATAATATAATCATATTTTATGACATATTTTATATATTAAATTAATAGGTTATATTTTATATTTCTATTGTACGGTTTAACCAACTATCCAAATGTATTAGTTGTTCTCTGAAATCTGTGACTATTTGCATTAAGTTCCTTTTTTTACTGAATGTGTTTTATTGAGGCAGACATATGCACTGGTCTGGTTATTGCAGTCTCTCAATGTTCTACAATGTCTATTTGTGGACAGAAGATCACAGATGAAGCTCCTGAGGTCCACTAGCTGAGGCATTTGGTCCCTGAGGGACAGTGAAGACTATGAACATGTTTTCTGTGTTTCAGATCATGTTGCTGACAGATCCAGAGGTGGAGAGCAGTTTGCTCATCAGCTCAGATGAAGGCGCAACCTATCAAAAATATCGCCTCAACTTCTACATCCTCAGCCTGTTGTTTCACCCTGAGCAGGAGGACTGGATCCTTGCCTATGGCCATGACCAGAAGGTGCAGAATCATTTCAGCTAAATCATATAGCAAACAGCATCTAATTATGGCACAAAGCTTTCAGCAAGTCACCGTTCATGCGGTTCTCTAATTATCAAGCTGTTTTATTGCCAAATATAACCAAATGCAAGGAAGCCAAAGGAAAAAAAATATTTATAGTATTTGCATACTGTATAAAGAACATTTTAGGCACAAACTGCAGAGCAAGACATAGTAATAATGAAAGCATGTGTGCAAATGGATGCTAATCTGTATTTAGGCTTGAAATATGTCCTTAGAAGGCAATTATCAATGCAAGAGGAAATACGTCTTAAAGAGACAATTTCAGTAAGCTTAAAGTTGGCAATTAAGACAATTTATGCATCCCGAGTCGCAGGGAATTATCATTAATTATATGGTTTCAAACTCATGGTTAGGGCTAATAAATTTTTTTTTTTTTTTTGCATTATCCTGAAAAGAGTGTTTAAGCATCAGATTCAATCATACCAAAAGATAAATTAACTAGTCAAGATTTTTTTTTTTTCGCTATGCAACTGATGCATCATTTTAATTCCTTCCCTTTTTAATTTTGGATTAGATTCATTCCTGAATGAAATATGTATTTATTTATTGCTACTCCTTGAAGTGGAATTAAATGATATAACAAATTGTTCCCCTAGGGAACTCACTCTGCATCCTCTAGCAGACACACTTTTATGCTTACGGGTGCCCGCCTGTGACATCACGGGCTACGTAGGCCAATGGGATTGAGTTATTTCACACGTGCTTCAGACACTGGTCCTGCTGGTGGCAGTCCCTATAGTTTCCGCTAGAGGATGCAGCATCTCATGCACTCTTGTACAGTATAAATGTATAGTATATAAAAAAAAAATAAGATTTTCTTTTCAAGCATGTCAAAAAAACTTCAAATTCAAATCTCGCAATATCATCAGATGATGACTGTTTCAAGTCTCAAGTGATGTTGTTAAACAGCTTTGACTTCAATTTTGACAAATCAACATTGATTTCACCCTTGAAAGAGGGCCAATGAGAATGAATTACAATTAAATGAAAACAATCAAAAATAATTATCAGCCAATTGAAGGCTAATAGTAGACTGTTTGCACAATTTGCATGACTAGCCATGGCTGAAAGACGCAAAAGCAAATGACATAAAAAGAAAACACAATCACAAGTGTAATTAAACCCTATTCAAATCAATGCCACAAATAAATGCATAATTTATTAGTGTTGACACTTTTGCTGCCTTAATGTCATTGGCAAGGTTCCTGAATTTAAATTTTTTTTATGATGACAGTAAACATAGAGGAGACGAGCTAAAATGAAAAGCTTAGTAACCTTCAACACTTTTGTGATTCCCTGCTGCAAATAAATAAATAAGTAACATTGAAGAAAAAAAAAGAAAAAAAAAGGAATTGTTTTCAGCAGGGCTGTACTCTTGGGTTCTGTCTAATTTGGTTTAGTTTGATCCAGTTGGATTTGTTCCTTTGGTTTCCCATAAGTCATAATGTCTAAATATGACCGAGCTCCATCCACCCACAGTCAGGATGTTATACTGGATATGAGATTGTGATATCACAGTTCCCAACTGATGCAAATTCAAGTGCTACATTGAACATTGATTGAACAGTCATGTTTATGCTCTATTTAGTGAATTTCAGATCTCAGTGTTTGTTCTCTTGCTGATTGCCAATTTTCCACTGTAATTAAACTAATTTTGAAATAATCATTTTTAGATTTTATTGGAAAGTCGTTCATAATTTTAATCGCTTGGTTCCAAAACTTGGTTAGCTCCCTACGTAGGCAGCATTTTAAGGATGGCGTCAATATTGCCATATCAATTTGAGCCGGATTCAGACCCCGAGAATATTGAACAAGAGGATCGTGCAGAACCTTTGCACGCACGGATATTGCAAGACATATTAGAGTGGTAACGTTATTGTTGTTGTTGTTATTGTTATTTTTTTTGGCTAAATCACATTTTAGATAGGATGTCAACAACCGCTTAAAAATAACTGCATTTACTATGTACAGATAAGTGCATATGTATTATGCTTATTGTTCTTTAATTCTAACATTCTAACATTAAGTACAGTGAAACTGTTATACAGTTGAATTTATTTATACCATAGTAGTCCAGTGTTTCCCACAGACTTGCAATCTATTTTGTGGCGGCATATATATGCAAATTAATTCTCTGTCAGCAGAAGGCGCTGTTGGAGTGGTAGAGATCGAGGTTTCCCTGGTAACGGCTTTACAAAAAGCAGCGCTCCGCTCACAAACGCTGCTTTATCAGACATTACATGCAAGATGAAATGAAAATGACCTTCAGAAATACAGTGATATAAAAACGCCTGCACTCAATGTATGGGAAACACTGCATATCTCAATCTCATAATTGAAGTGTAAATTCTGCAGATTACATCATTGTCCAGTATTGTACTGTCAGCAATTTATTATATACATACATATTTACATACATAATTATTCAGGTGCATGTGTAATAACTTGCGAAAACTTGACACTACAGCAGCACTTCTTCTTCCTCGCCGTCTTGTCTGATGCACTCAACCAAGCATTCTAACCACGACCTCGCCCCTCCCCACCCTCCAACCATTCGAATTTCCGTAAGCGGGAATTATTTTAATGATATTCTAATGAGCCGCTTTGTGACATCACAAATCCCAGAAAACAACAAAAAAAGGGATTTAAAAAACCCCCGAAATATCTCCCTTTGGAGTGGACTTTGAGATTTGTAACTTTGTAGATCTTTTTTATGCCCTGACTAAAGTAAAATCACTCTGCTCTTGACTGAATAACTAGTGTATAATTAATTAATACAGTGAAGACTTCATAATGATTTATTTTTACATTTGATTATTCAAATCAACTCCAAAGATATGGAGAAAAAAAATTTTAACAAAATATATATTGTGTGTTGGAGTGGTCCAGACGCTACACACCATTGTGGTAAGAATTTTTGATGCCAATACCCTGAAAAAGATGTCCAAGGTTGACAGGTCTGGAACAGTGTTACATTACTTTTGTGTTACTTTTTCTATATATATATATAAAAAAAATAAAAATCTATTTTATCAAATTTAAAAGCCATTTTACACAAAAAGAGAAATTAATAAACCTTAGGCTGAAGGAAATTCACATCTGTACAGTCAAACATACATTTCAGCTGTTCTGGATACCACAAAGAATAGGATGCAGGAAAATAAAGTTTCATCAGCAATCAGCAATCAATCAATCAGCCAATCAGTAAAGAAAGAAAAGAAAATGTTATGTTGACCTAAAATCATTTTTGCATATTGGTTGAACTGGATCATCAAAGGTCAGCAGCAAAGACATCTGTTAATAAAATTTAAGGAATATTAAGAAATAGTATCACAATTAATTGCATTGTGATATTTGTGCTATTTAACATTTAATTTTTGCAGGTTTGCATTTTCACTGTTTTTATTAATTTTCAGGAATACTGAATGTGTTTTTTTTCCAAGTGAGATGAATAGATGCATGTTCACATTTAGTCTACAGTAACCATCATGTTTACACAGCACACGCAACACCTCTGCACTTACTCCTGATTTCTCTCAACATGGGGGCAGGACAGCTGTAACTCAGATATTTTCTTGTAAATTAAAAATCAATGTGTTACTTTACGAGTTGTTTGAAAAGTAATCTAATTACGTAACTTGCTTTACTTGTAATGCATTGTTCATAATTTCCTAATGTGGCCTTTGAAGAAAAACTGCTGCCGGAATCATTGATGATGTTCACTATAGGTTTTGGAACAGGGCTAATTATAAGAATCAAAAGTAAACCAAACTTACCTAAACAACACCAATAGTCAGATGTACAATTAAATAGCAGCATATTGCAACATCAGAAGAGGCAATGATCTTCATTCAATTTCTTTGCTAACACAATACTTTCGTCCTCAGCTCTACAGCTCTGTTGAGTTTGGCCGTCGATGGCAGCTCGTTCACGAACAGGTGGCGCCCAATCGATTCTACTGGTAAGCTCTCTGTGTGATTTCTTCTGCTGCATGTGGAACATCAATCATTTGAGCTTCTGCATTCAGTGTCTGATAAAAGAATAAACCAAAGAACACAGATTGTTGTTCAATCCTGATGTGATCTTCCCCACTGTGTTCCACCACCAACGCTTTCTCGGGGTTTACGTCCAAAGCTTAGAAGCTCTTTAATGAATGTTATCATTAGACCTTGTTACTGAGTCAAAGTCTGCATTTGCAATGTTGCAAATGATTTAGTCATTAAGAAAGATTGTTCAGCTTGATCAGGATGGCTAATAGATGTCTAGACTGTGGTGATTAAAGAGACCTGTTGAGAAATAAATTCTAAATTCGATTCGATTTTATGTTTTCTCTGGTCTCAAGTGGACAAGCTGGAATGAACTGAAAGGCATTTTAACTGAAGGTACCTGAACAATCTTGGGTGTGAATCAGGTAAAACAAAATTAATACTGATATGCTTGCATTGCCTGGTTATAACGCTCTCTTTTTTGCTGTGGGTTATACTGGGAAATTACTGCTAACTGTTAAATAAGCAATATCACAAGCCTAATTTAAATATAATGGGAGCGTGTTTGCACTGAAAAAAAAAATGGGAATGACTTTAAACACATCACCATGTCTGTCACCATGTCAACTGACGGGTTTCCGAAAGTTAAAATCCCATTAATTTTCTCCATAGTGGAATTGATTGTGAACGATAATTTACCTTTAAAGACAGACTTAAATGAACTACAAGGTTGTTAATCAGTCATCAGTCATGAATGGATGAAATTGACTTTTGTATCTGTGAGTGCTTCAAAAGCAACTCAGATCTGATGCGGCTCATTTCTAGCCTAATACCCAAAGTCTTGGTGGAACTGAACAGGTCAGAACTCCTTTACCTTCACCATCACAATGATCTGAAATTGAAACCGTAACAATTTTTCTTTGAAATGGAACTGTTCTTGTGAGTAAGGAAGGTTGTAGTATAATGACATTTAACTGAAGGTACCTGAACAATCTTGGGTGTGAATCAGGTAAAACAAAATTAACACTGATATGCTTGCATTGCCTGGTTATAACGCTCTCTTTTTTGCTGTGGGTTATACTGGGAAATTACTGCTAACTGTTAAATAAGCAATATCACAAGCCTAATTTAAATATAATGGGAGCGTGTTTGCACTGAAAAAAAAATGGGAATGACTTTAAACACATCACCATGTCTGTCACCATGTCAACTGACGGGTTTCCGAAAGTTAAAATCCCATTAATTTTCTCCATAGTGGAATTGATTGTGAACGATAATTTACCTTTAAAGACAGACTTAAATGAACTACAAGGTTGTTAATCAGTCATCAGCCCACATGCTGTCAACATGAGAAGGGCTTACTTTTAATGATGTCAGGATATGCTCCTTGCTTCTGTTCAAAAGCACAGATAGATGGAGATGGAAATGGAGGCTTAACAGGATAGAGTGTTCTGATGGTACTTTCTCGACTTAACCCGCATTGCTCCTTTGGGAGGCTAACATCTTTTAGCCGACACAAAAAAGCCAATGCCCTTATTTTGACCCATCTTTTGTTGCATGGAAACACAAAGGATTTTCGTTTTCCAAAGCTTATTTTATAAAATATTGTTTTTTATTTCCTTTGGGCTCTCCAGGTCTAAACTGGGCCTTGATAAAGAGCCAGGCCTGATTCACCTTGAGACCAGCATCTCAGAAACCCGTAAGTCTGAATAGCGTCCCTGGACGTGCTTTGATTACATTTCAAGAAGCTATCATTCAAAAACGGCACAAGGCAACACTTGGAGGGTTCAAAATAGGCTTCACATTAAAATGCAAAATGGACAGTTCTGCTCCAGCAAATCCATCTTTCCGTATTAGTCATCAGTAATTAACATTAATGAAGAAACATACCGCACAAATTGAGTTTGTCTTTTGTTTGTTGAACCTGTATTTCTGTTGATTGGCAGACAGAAAGAGAAACTACACGTGGCAGTTCTGTTGTACATGGTCCCCCAAAACAGTCAATTTGAATGAGGTTTTCTTAGACTGTTTGAAGTTAATATACAAGGACAATTAGGGAGGCCAGGTACAATTGTAATATTTTTTTTTTAAATAACATGTTCTTTGTTAACTTAAAGACTACTAGAGATCTTCCTCTCATGGTAAAAATTTAATTTAAATGTGTTGATAGTAACAGTACAAATATTGAAAAATGTTAGATGTCAATTGTGGTTATGTACTGGGTAAAAAAAAACAGAAAGACAATTTGTGTAGGTTTTACTTTGAAACAGTTGTTAGAAAATAATAATTACAAATTAACGGCAAGCAACATATTGAATTAAATCTGACATTTTGAAGTAGAAATACTAGGGTTGGAACGGTTCAACTTATGGTTCGGCTTGTATCACGGTTTCGGTATGCTTCGGTATGTGCTATGTTTACGCAAAAACTATACTGTCAAATTAAAATAAAGGAAATAAGAATAATCTATCTAACTACAAGCACCAGCACAAATAAATACAATAGAGTAAAGATACAAATAAAATAAACAATGATTTTCAGTTTTTTTTAGGTAGGTCTAACATTAGTTTTTAGGTACAGAAATTGAATAAAGTAATGAAATGTAAAACAGCATTGCATATTTGACTGTATAAATTAAAAATGTATCTTTATTAAAGTTACAAAAGCTATTCAATCAAGAGCAGTGAGTGATTTCTTTGTTGTTGCTGTTTGATTAATATTAAGAAACTTTTGTCACTTTAAGACAGTGTTTCTCAACCCTGGTCCTGAGCGCCCCCCAACACTGCACATTTTGTATGTCTCCCTTATCTGACACCCATTTCAGGTCCTGGAGTTTCTTTTAATGAGCTAATGAGTTGGTGTGTTTGATTAGGGAGACACACAAAATGTGCAGTGCTAGGGCGCGCCCAGGACCAGGGTTGAGAAACACTGCTTTAAGAGAATGATACAGTACGTTCAGCCGGCTAATCTATCTAACTACAAGCACCAGCACAAATAAATACAATAGAGTAAAGATACAAATAAAATAAACAATGATTTTCAGTTTTTTTTAGGTAGGTCTAACATTAGTTTTTAGGTACAGAAATTGAATAAAGTAATGAAATGTAAAACAGCATTGCATATTTGACTGTATAAATTAAAAATGTATCTTTATTAAAGTTACAAAAGCTATTCAATCAAGAGCAGTGAGTGATTTCTTTGTTGTTGCTGTTTGATTAATATTAAGAAAGTGATTCACTTTAAGAGAATGCACTGATACAGTATGTTCAACTGGCTATGTCTGCTATAGGATACTAACCAAGATGGGCATTTTGACATCATTTTTGTGTGAATTTGTCCATTTAAACAATTCTTCAGAGAGAGCTTAATATTTGTCGGCTATGTCTGCTACAGGATACTTACCAAGATGGGCATTTTGACATAATTTTTGTGTGAATTTGTCCATTTAAACAATTCTTCAGAGAGAGCTTAATATTTGCGCGCGTTCTGAGGCCCGGGTTTGCATGCTTCGGATGAGCGCTCGCACAAATCTTCTCACTGTGCACACAAGCTTACGTCCTCTGGCTCTTAAATGTTAAAACTGGCAAAGCTTAAATGAGTTTAGCTTAAACAGATATCCGCGTGTGCTGTTTAGGTCTCACCTGTGCGCGCGCACTATCAGCACCCGGGTGATGACGGAATAAATGCTCATATTCCAGCATACGGCATTCGCATTGAATAAGAGCAAAGTCCCTTTAAGGCAAGTCATGTCACTCGGCGGCCATCTTTGAAACGCGTCTCGGGCATGCAAGTGCAACTCCTATCTCTTTGAATGGGGAATTATCAAATTCTCCAAAACTGTTCGCAAAGCTTACGATTAAATTTCACATTTGAAATCACCAATGAAATCTGACAACAACTGTATCATAAGTGTTGTTTATTTTGCTCAAATAGCATTTAAAAAAAGCTTATTTCTCAAGCCAGACCAGCCAGTGCGCATGCGCAGTCCTAGGCGCACGACTGTTTCTATAGCAACCGGGACTTCTAACGGCAGCTGCAGTGACGCGCTGACTTTACTGATTAGCGATTGGCTCTTTTCCTCAGAAGGCGTGGCTTCGTTCGATAGAGCGGCCATATTTAGTCTTGCATTTTTCCCCGTTCAAAACTATACGAGTGACATGTCTTGGGTATTCTATAGTCTTTGACAAGAGTGAATGGTTTGTCCACGGTTTTTTTTCATCGCTGTTGTTGTAATGTATTGGGAAGCCAGAATGTGCATCCATCAACAGAAACATATATTAGCCGAACCCTGTTTAGTTTACGTGTTATTTATAGCAAACCATATTTCAGATGCGTTGTCAGATTTAAGTTGAACCGTGGTCCTAGCGCATGCCGAACCGTGTGTGGAGAACTGTACGGTTCTATTTTTTTCCGCAAACCGTTCCACCCCTAAGAAATACTAAAGTAGTATTTTACTTTTATTTGCAACTTTGTGTTACAACTGCCCTCACTGTGCCCACATATATTAATACTATAAAAGAACCCCTTAAACTAGTGATATCAATATTTGATTTAATATTTACAGTTATCAATATCAATATTACTATTATCTCTTTATCAGTCAGTCTGTCTTTCTGAAAATCAAATATACCTTCATCTTTGTCTGCCGTTTGTCCTGCTGTTGTTACAGAGGCTCTTTATATCACATGCAAGCTTCAGAACTGCACAGATGCCAACAAGGGCAAACCTTTTCCTGGATACATCGACCCCAACTCCTTGGTGGTCCAAGATGAGTATGTGTTTGTTCAGGTGAGCCATTTACAGAGGGGAAACGTTTGACTAGTATGGCTGTAGCAATAATTATTTTTCTTATGATGTGGCATTGATATTATAAATCCTGGTCTTGATAATTAAGCATTTCCCATAGTTCAATATATTCAATTATTCAACAATACTTAAGTATATTATGTATATATTTTTTATTTGAGTGCAAACTTTATTTATTAACTTTACTTTATCATTATTATTATTTTTTATTTAAGTCAAGTACCTTCATTTTAATGACATTCTGTTATACGTATGCACATTTCCAAATGATTTCATGGGACAGATATTTTCCTTTAAAAGCACACACAACCAACCAGTTTATTTTAAAAACACAAACGTAAGGCTAGAATTCACTACATGACTTTTGCCCAGATTTTTGCCCCAGTTTACAGTCTAAACTGTAGCTAGATGCCGAAAGTCAGAGCCAGTCTGCAGATTTGAGTTAACAGATGTCATAAAATAATCGCATAGTCTATGATGGACACGGTCTCTGATTTTTTTTTTTTTTAGCTTCAGACTATGAATCCATCCAGTCGGAGGATATCCAACATGTTTAATATTTTTAAACACATATTGTTTTAATTTACAAAGTCAGCAAGTGTGGGACGCTGTGTTTTGAAATCTGTTCAGATGTTAAAAGTTGCGTAGTGTGTTCCAGCTTTAAGTTTAAACTCTTGTAGTAGTGTCCTTTATTGCTGTTCAGGACACATCTGGATGAATGCTATATATATATATATATATATATATATATACACACACACACACTACAGTTCAAAAGTTTGATGATGGTGAGATTGTTGCAATGTTTTTTAAATAATCTCTTGTACTGACTAAGCCACATTTATTTGATCAAAACTGAATATATTTTAAAATGTATTTTTTCCTGTGATGATAAAGCTGAATTTTCATCATCATTACTCAAGTCTCCAGTGTCACATGATCTGTGATTTAGCTGATGTACTAAATATTTTTTTTCTTATTTTTATCTATGTTAAAAAGAGTTGGGATGCTTAATATTTTGTGGAATTATTTCAGGATTTTCAGAATGCTTTAATGAACATAAAGTTAAAAAAACAAAAAAAAACGCTTTTATTTAAATTAGAAATCATTTTCTATCTTGATGCCTTTAGTGTCACTTTTGATCAATTTAATATGTCCTTGCTGGATAAAAGTGTTCATCCATCCATTCATTCATATGCATCATTTTCAAATGATTTCTTATACAAAACTGAAGTCATGTAACTATGCTGGGCAACTTAGTGCATCAATTATAGCCCACTATTCTAAAACATTCCTTGTCAGTTTTATAGACTTCTTTATTGACTTGTTTATACCAACATCTGGATAATGCCGGAGGCAGAATATTCTTTTGTCAAATAAATCACAGAGATCTGTTTTATGAAATGTCTTTTCCTTTTTCCCCAGGATCTGCATGTGATCAGTACAGATGAGAATCGGGTCGTGGCGGCAGTTCAAGAGTGGAACCAGAATGACACTTACAACCTGTATGTGTCAGAGGCCGGAGGCATTTATTACACACTGGCTTTGGAGAACGTCATGAGCAGTATGGGACCAGAGGGAAATGTCATGATAGATCTATATGAGGTAACTCTCTCTGTAAAACACAACAGTGTCATTTATTTTCCACACTGTACAGATGTGTGTTGATTCAATATCACTGTTTCATGTTCCCATTTCTCTGGATATTAAAAGCATGATCATATTGAATGCACTAAGTAATGCTAATTGAGTGTAGTGTTAATTGATTTAATAGCAGTGCTAATTAATTAAGGAATTCATTACAGGACTATCAGTGGGTTATCTAAACAAGGAGCAGTTAGGAACGCAGAATATTCTCTGTGCATCTAAATCTATCACTATAGGGAGAAAGCTTGGACACAATGTTAAATATGATAACAGATTTTGTATCACATTAAAGTGCAAAATCTCTTTCTTCAGTATTTCAATTAATGTGTTATATATATATATATATGTATATATGTATATGTACATATGTATAGTTATTCACATGATCCTTCAGAAATTCTTCTAATATGCCGATTTGATGCTAAGTTAGTTTTCATTATCATTGGTGCTCAGTTATTAATAATGTTTTTTTTAATTATTATTATCAATGTTAAAAAAATATATATTAAAAAAAAAAATAATAATAAATAAATAAAAGTTTTTGCTGCTTAATATTTATTTGGGGGAAAAAAATCCCCCAGGATTCTTTGATGAATAGAAAGTTCAATGAACAGCTTTATTTGAAACAGAAATCTTTTGTAACATAATAAATAACTTTACTGTCACTTTTGGTCAATTTTGGTAAAACATTTTTTTTTTTTCAAGACTACAAACAACTAAATGGATTTAAAATTTAAATCTAAAAACTATTTTGCAGCCTTGTCTGAACAAAACCTGTTTACTTTTTCTGATCTACAATTGGTTGACCTTTTCAGCATTTAACTCTGATCAATGTCTTTCCAAATACCTGTGTGCTACAAGATACCTTACAATTTCAGAGCAGGCAGGGCTTTGGAGTGCTGTTATTTCACAAGTTTTTATAATACTACAAATTGGTCTGATAGCACTGCTCGTGTACAAAGGCACCGCCGGAGTGAAGCCAATGATTAGAGTTTGGGTGTAGATGGCTCGTCTCTTTGAAGAATACCCCAGATCTCTATTCATACACCTCAGGATGGAACAGCACATGCAGCCACGCATTGCATCAGAGGCCAGCAGGTGTCAAGCTATCTCCTGATCAAATAATTAAACTGTTGATGATAGCAACCCCCATAAAATCACATTCGGCCTTCGGATAGGCTGAAGAGTCCAGTGACTTGATTGAGGTCGCCACCTCTATGTAACATATGCTAAAATCTCAGCCGTCGGCTAGATTGAAATATTCATCAATTATATAATAGTCAGTGCCCTCCGAGGCCCATCCAGGGCTGCCTCTCCTCCTCTCTAGTGCTTCCTGGTCCTGAAGAGATGTCACTTCTGTTCAAGACGGACATGGATTACCTTCTCATTTCCTTACATACTCCCATTCCACTCCAATAGATCTTACCAGGAACTGCAATATGTACGGAGCTTTTTAGAAGTTCACTTGGCTGGGTTGTGCCACAGTGACACAAAGTAATAAATGCATCACAGGCTTTTGTTTGTTTTTGTTTTTTTCTGTAGGAGGAAATGGTGAAACTTTGGAGATGTAATTATTAGTGATTTATCTCTTCCTCATTATGTTGTTTATGTTCCTTTCCCTAGGTGGCAGGAATAAAAGGCATGTTCTTGGCCAATAAGAAGCTAAATAATGAGGTGAAGACATACATAACCTATAACAAAGGCCGCGACTGGAGGCTCCTGCAGGCTCCCTCAGCTGATCTCAGAGGAAATAGAATCCATTGCATGCTGGTGAGTAGATGTGTGGGAAAACAACAAGAGACAGACACGTCCAAAGCTAGCCGTATAATATTTGACATTCATAGATTAGCTTTATGAGGTCAGTGTACTTTCACAATGACTAACTTGTCAGATTTTAGCTTTTGAAGCATTAATCAAAGATGGGTGTTTCTTCAACGACAGTTACTTTACTGTATGTCCCAGGGTTTGATTTGTATAAAACAAACAGATTTCAACTTTTTTTATTATTTTGTTATAAGAAGATCACATTAAAACTCTTTTTAATTAATTCTTTTTTTCAAACCTTCATCATTTATTTTATGCTTCTTTTCAAATTCTGCTTGTTTTGTTGCCTCTTTGATTTAGCCCTAACCCAGGCTTTCAATCTAGAAAATTCATGATAGAATATGAATCCTTTGGTTATGTGAACAAAGAGTGTAAAATCATTTTCATTCATTGAAATAAAATTAAAAGATTAAGCTTTTATGGCTTGGAAAATAACTGAAATTAAAGTCAAATTAAAGTAGAGGAACAAAATGACTGACATAAAACATTAATTGAAGTTAAATACAAATATCTACAAAAAAAACTAAAACTAATGAAATATCTTAAAAGCACATAACAAAATTACTGAGTAAATGAAAAATAAAAATATAAAAAGCTATTTCAAAATATGAATGCATACTATAATAATAATGTATAAATAATGCTACAATAACACAGTTTGAGACGCATTGGAAATGTTCCTGTGATGCAAGTTCAATGATGGACATGAAATTAAACTAGTAAAGGTGTGAAAGCTCTGTTTTGAGAGTTTATTTGAGAAAAAAACTCTCAAATGTGTTGTTGAAGTAACACTGTTACATATGGTCATACTTGATGATATTTTGCACAATTTTGCACAATAGCTCCATAATAATAATAATAATCAGCATCATCATCATAATAATTATAATAATAATAATAAAAGTAATAAGTTGATAATATGCCAACAGAACGTGCATTCCTGTGGACACGGGTGTTTGGAATAGGTCTACATAATCAGTGCTGCTTGTCATTTCAAATGACAAGACATATATTTCATTCCGTGGAGATAGTATCCATCCCCGGTGAATGGCCTCCACAATCCTAGTCCCCCCACCCCCCCAAAATGCAAACAAAAATAATTACCCTTTGATAAACTCAACTAATTAATGGTCCCACTGTTGGCCTTGCCTTCACCATCCATTACAGAGCTATTTGTTAGAAAATGTCAAAGTTTTAATAAACCCCTAAACAACCCTTGCAACATGTGCTTACCATTGGCATTTCCAGACTTATAATGAGAATTGTGTCACTAAAGGTTATTCCAATCAAAATTAATGTTGTGAGGGAAAAAAAAGTAATGAGCCTTTGCTGTTATGGGATTTTTAAAACGGGATTTTATTTAAGCCCAAGCACAATGACGGTTACTGGAGGCCACACACTGGGAGGTGTGCCGATTTTGAGACCCCACTTGAGCAAGATAATTGTTTGTGTTGCTTCTAGCCGTACTGTTCTCTGCATCTTCACCTGCAAGTGTCTGCAAACCCGTACACATCTGGAAATATAGCCAGCAGAGAGTCGGTCCCTGGAATCATAGTGGCATCAGGTGAGTTTGGGTAAAAGGACTGATGATATAATTTAGAGAGAAATCTACCAGGGAAGAAGAAGAAAATTCTGTACATATAATGCAGAGTGATCTTATTTGTAAAGAGTAAATGTACTTTACTGTTTAAAATTTTAGGGGTGGTAAGATTTAAAAAAAATTTTTTTTTTAAAGCCTCTTATGCTGATGCATTTAATTAAAAATACAGTAAAAATAGATATTGTGATATATTAAATTAAACGAATATTAATATATTTTTAAATATAATTTATTCCTGTAATTTTCAGCATCATTACTCCAGTCTTCAGTGTCACTTGATCCTTCAGAAATCATTCTGATATGCTGATTTGATCCTCAAGAAATATTTTTATTTTTATCATCAATGTTGAGAACAGTTGTGCTGTTGTTCTAATAAACAGCATTTATTAGAAATATTTCATGAATACATACATACATACATACATAAAAGTATAAGATTTCAAAAGAACCTTACGTTCTAAATCTAAATAAATAAAAACACATCTAAAATAAATCTTATAAATCTAATAGGCTGATTTGATGCATACGATTTTTTTTTAAATTGTCATTATTATTGGCATATTATTTAGTGGAAACTGTGATAGATTTTTTTTTTAAGTAAATAATAAAAGTATTCATTTCATACAAAAAATCTTACTGACCCCAACCTTTTATTGATTTTCTTTTGTATATTGAAAATATAAAATACAGTATAATTTAAAACAAACACTTTTATTTGTGTACACATTTTGTCAAATTTAATAGTATTATTAATACTTAATACTATCTATCTTTACACATATTTCTTTTATGTTGTTTCATTAACTCTGGTTACTTTACTTTACTTAATTTTGGAACTGCCTTAATAAAAAAATGTGCCTGAAATATATCAGTCCATTTTTGGATCCTCCTTTAATCTTTAAAGAAACATTTCAAAGTTGACAAGACACTTGTAAAAAAAATTTTTTTAAAAAGATTAATAAAACGGAATACTCAAGGATTATTTGTATTTTGGTTTTGGTTACAGACAGGTAGAAAAACCTGTCTACATGACAGGTACTGGAAGAAGAAAATACTTTTTAAAGTGTGTTGTTCCCATATTCTTCCTTAAATCCCTGACATCAGTTCATTTTTTTTTGTCCTGGAACTCCAAAGTGAAACATATTTAAATTCCTTTTATCTTGAGCGCTTATGACACTCTCATTGTTGAAGACGTTCATTTTGCGCTTGTGGAGTGCAGGCATCTGGATATGGACTATAAACAAGATTAGTGTCGCGCTAGCATGAACAAATGGAAATGCTAAGTGCTACTCTTGAGATTAGCGGCAGAGAGTCTTTAGAGTGTTCTTATTATTCTCTCTCCATCATCTTCTGTTTTCACAACCGACTAACTCTTCCACCACTTCAAACTTCAAATGTTTATTTTCTAAGATTGAAAGCGCTTGTCACTTTTTCATTTTACTCCTTCAGGCTTGTGTCTTCTGCAACGTTCACCGACTATATTGCCTCTGGATGCACGCAGATGAAATATAAATGTCTTGGCACTGTAACTATCTGGATAAGTATTCCTAGGAGGAGACCGACTATTAGATATTAGGCTCTAAATTGACGTTAGGTTGATTGATTTGATGGTAGAAGGGTTGTGGGGATGGCACAGACTTTCCTGAGTAGCTTAGCTTATTAGATAGAGAGGTTTTCCAGAACTCCTGGTTACCTCACAGGGTCAGACGCTGATTTCATTACATATGATGTATTTTCTAGTGTAAATATCTTTCTATCTATCATCTATCTATCTATCTATCTATCTATCTATCTATCTATCTATCTATCTATCTATCTATCTATCTATCTATCTATCTATCTATCTATCTATCTATCTATCTATCATCTGTTTTTCTGTCTATCCATCGATTCATCTTTCTATCCATCAATCCATCCACCCACCCACTCACCCACCCATCCATCTATCTTTCTGTCCGTCCATCCATCCATTGATCTATCCTTCTATCTTTCCATCCATCCATTTATCCATCCATCTTTTTGTCCATCCATCCATCCATCCATCCATCCGTTGATCTATCTATTGATATTTTTGTCCATCCATCCATCCATCCATCCATCTTTCTGTCCATCCACCCTTCCATCTATCCGTCCATCCATCCATCAATCCATCCATCCATCCATCCATCCATCTTTCTGTCCATCCATCCATCATCATCATTAGATTGTTTTTCATTGAAATACTTTTTTTCTTACATAAGAGTTAGTCTGTCACAGAATACTGCACACACTACAGTGTTGTGTGAAAAAGCAAAAGAGAGAGCATATGATCTTGTGTCGCAATCATATTCTATTCTGTCCCACAAATAATGTGCTGACCTTGTATTTTACAGTCCAAAAAACATGCATTTTCTAACCTTCGCACTAATCTAGTCAACATTAGTAATCACAAATTAGGAAATCTAGTCATTGTGGGTAAACGAGAAATACAAATTTGGACAAAATCCATAAAGCACTTGCCAGCTTTTGGAATGAAGTATGAATGACTTTTGTGACGAGAAAAGGCACAATGCACTCAATCTTCATATTCATATAGCTTTAGTTATCAACTCTCTATCTGCTTCAGTAAGCATGACTGTAATTGTTCTGCTCTTCTCTCCTTAGGTTCAATTGGCGCAGAGTTAACGAGCAGCAATGTTAGCATGTTCATCACATCCGACGCTGGAAACACGTGGCGGCAGGTGACTCTGACCATGGGGGGTGTTCAGCCAGATGGGGGTGGGCAGTAATTTCAGCATTGATGCATATCTTTGAGCGGATTAATCCATGTGCTGCGTTTCAGAGCCGATAATCAAATGACACCTTCAGAGAAAACTAAATTCAATGACATATATGATGCCCGTGGGTGCATGTTTGATGATGCAATTTAAATTTATGGGGCCAGCTGTCTAATTAAAAATGGAGAGCTCAAATAATTAAGAGAAAATTGATGTGGCAAAAAGTTAAAGCATGCTGGGTAGGGCACGGGTTTTATGTCATATATCTTGTCAGTAAGAATTACAATCACTGGGATTTGAGAAATAGCATTATTTCAAGGACAGCAGACCTGTGGTTGCCAGCTTCCATCTAATCAAATTGAAAGCCTTCCCAAGAAGAGTAAAGGATATGAAATATTGTCATAACTCAGCCAATCTGACATTATGGATGAAAATAACTCAGGAACATATGTAACAATGCCCTGAGCAGAATAACATAATATAAATTTTTTTTTGTTGGCACTAAACCAACAAACCCACAATGATTATTTCAGAACTGCGCAGTCCTTATTTATCATAGATTTATGTTGATCAGAGCAACTGGGGGTCAGATACATTTCTCAATTATAATGACTCTAGTGTGGCTTTTGGTTGATCCAACTTTTCCAGTGTGTTCACAGCCAAAGGAAAACAAAACAGACCCCGCACAGTATCCCGCTAACATAAACACTAGCCTCGTAATCATTTGTCCATGAAGTACTTAAGCCAATCAGATGGTGTTTTTCCTCCACTTTAACAGACTTGCACATGCTAAATGCTTGAACCCCCAAGGCCTAAACTCAACAGGAATTCATATGAGCAAGAATTCACAGCACATACAGTGCAGTTATCAGTGCTCTGGGGCAAACAAATGATAACTGCTAATGAGGGCCTCAATTTTCAGTTCAACTTTGCAGTAGGTCAACCTAGCATCTGGCTGAATTTTCCTCTGTAAGGCAATTTCTTGTTTCATACATGTTTACAACTACTAGCAGTTCTGTAATGGTGACTGGAAAGGGTAATTTTTTTATTATTATATGCTTGCGTGTACTCTCAGAAGAAAAGGTACAAAAGCTGTCACTGGGGCAGAACCTTTTTAAAAGGTACATTTCTGCACCATATGTATCTCTAAAGAGTGGAAAATAGTAACTTATAGGTACTTATTAGTACCTAAATTGTAAGTTTTAGTACCTAAATGGTGCAATTTAGTACCCTTTTGAAAAGGTACTGCCCCAGCGATAGTTTTTGAACTTTTTTTTTCTTTTTTCTGAGAGTGTAGTTTAATTTTATTTTAATAATAAGCACTTTAAGAAATAATGGTAAATTGATTACACAACAGCAAGAAGATTTACAGGATGGAATCACACTTGGAAATACAAAGGTTTAATTTAGCCTTTGCATTGGGTGACAAGTGGGTCTCAGCTTTAAGTCAAGTCACCTTTATTTATATAACGCTTTTAACAATACAGATTGTGTCAAAGCAACTGAACAGCATTAATTAGGAAAATAGTGTCAATAATGCAAAATGACAATAGTAAACACTCATTTTTCAGTTAGTTCATCATTGAATTCAGTGATGTCAACATCCAGCTCAGTTTAAATAGTATCTTTTCAATCATGTCAACGATATCGCTGGAAATGAAGTGTCCCCAACTAAGCAAGCCAGAGGCGACAGCGGAAAGGAACCAAAACTCCATCGGTGACAGAATGGAGAAAAAACCTTGGGAGAAACCAGGCTCAGTCGGGGGGCCAGTTCTCCTCTGACCAGACGAACCAGCAGTACGGAAAAATCAATTTAAGACGTAATAAAACAGACGATGAATAATATTAACAGCAATTATTATATGATGCAATAAAACTTATAGCAAAATGTGGTAGTTCTGTAAGTTGTTTCAGGGTTGGCATCATCTGAGGTCCTCTGAGGGGTTGCATCATCTCTTCTCAGGTGTTCTGGATCCAGACTGAAGCTTGTGTAAATCCTAGTTACAAAAAACAGAGAAACAAATACAAACATAGTTAGCGTAGCTGCTGTTCCAACCAAGCAAAATTGATTTGTTTAACCCAAACTAAAGAAATTAATAATGTGCATTTTTATTAGATATAACTGCAGTACAAGATTATGAGATGCATTATTTGAATGCTTGGCCAAAGAGATGTGTCTTTAATCTAGATTTAAACAGAAAGAGTGTGTCTGAACCCCGAACGTTATCAGGAAGGCTATTCCAGAGTTTGGGAGCCAAATGCGAAAAAGCTCTACCTCCTTTAGTGGACTTTGCTATCCTAGGTACTACCAAAAGTCCAGAATTTTGTGACCTTAGGGAGCGTGATGGATTGTAGCGTGGTAGAAGACTAGTTAGGTGCGCAGCTTTACTCTTTCGAAGTTTTATATTTGCAATTTCCAGTTTTTATCATTTTATCAAACAGGATTGAATGCTTTAAAGGGGTCATATGATGCTTTTTTAAATATAATTGTTTTGTGTATTTGGTGTAACAGAATATGTTGACATGCTTTAATGTTCAAAAAACACATTATTCTTCAAATACTGTACATTATTGTAAGTCCTCTATGCCCCGCCTCTCTCAAACGCTTCGTTTTCTACAAAGTCCCTCCTTCCAACAAGCACAGTCTGCTCTGATTGGCCAGCTGACCCAGTGCATTCTGATTGGCCGAACACCGCAAGCACTCGTCGGAAATGTAACGCCCCTTACCATAATCGTGAGCTTCATCTTTCAAAATAAATGTAAAGACAGAGCCCGAAAGGGGAACAGAGTCTCGATAGCAAAGTCAGAATTACCTCCTCTCCTAGGTTCACGAAATGGTCGTCCATAAAATGCATTGCTGTTCTGTTGTAAGCAATCTTAAAGATTCCTAAATGCATCTACTTTCTGAAGGTCAAATAAAGTGCTTTTGCGTTTGCCTAGAAACACACAGCGTCTCCTTGACCAGGCGAGGAAACGCTCATAGCGGTTACTGAAACCACGCCTTCTTTCTTTGCGTGCACATTTGGGCGGCATTATGCAAATATTTCCACATAGTGAGGTAGATATGTGGGGGCGTGTTAGAACGAGCCGTTTTAGGGGGGTGTGGCAGAGTCTTAACTTTGATAAAGAATCTCTTTGGTTTTGAGACCAGTCTTTGCAACTTCAGGGATCTTATCTATGCACAATCAGCTTGTAACACTCCAAAGAGAAAGAAAAACTTGAAATCGCATCATATGACCCCTTTAAAATGAGACAAACCAACTAATATAATAAAATCTCATTGATATTTTCATTAATATCATTGCTGTTGTTTTCCCTCTAAAATGGTGTCAAAAATGACATTAAGGTCACAGGAAATACCTATAAACTGATTACCAATTAAATTAATACTCCCAAGAAAACATGTAAAACATATTTGAATTAAAAGAAAAGCATGAAAAATTGTACAATATTTCTAAATTTCTAAATTGCCTTGTTTTTCATTTTAGAAGTTATCATGCTGGTGGCATGACAAAAATGACAAAAAAAACCCATGTTCAATAAATTGTGATAAACTAAAAACTATTTTTATATTATATAAAGTTTTATATTTTCTGTAGTCTTTTAATAATGGGAATTTCAAAATGAGCAGAACAGCGCATAATTTATACATTTATTGAATTACTTGTTTACTTATTTATATGTGTATTTATTCATATTGGACATCTTGGACATAAACACCCATGCTCATATTTTCCGAATGTTTAAACGTTAAACTATGTCTGTCTGTTCCAGATATTTGACGAAGAGTACAGTGTGCTGTATCTGGATCAAGGCGGGGCTTTAGTGGCAATTAGACACACCCCTCTTCCCATCAGGCACCTCTGGTAATGCTGCCCCAATATCATTACTAATATTTCATGCGTATGTTCGTAAAAAGATGAGTCAATGCAATCGCACCGAGCTGACTCACACAACCACGGGGAGTGTGAACGTTCTCATTAAACCCAGTAGACTGTGTAATACTTTTGTCTAGTAATCTAGATTAAATGTCGGAAAGGTGTCGGAAAGTCTTGTTTGAATTATTTGCCAGCTGTGTGTGGAAATGCAATCTTTTCTACACTGTATTATAGTTTCAGGTGTGTGCTGCTGGTTTCTATGCAGGTTGAGCTTTGATGAGGGGAGGGTATGGAACAAATACAGTTTCACTTCATCACCCCTGTTCGTGGACGGCGTCTTGGGCGAACCAGGCGAGGAAACGCTCATAATGACGTAAGTATGATGAATATTCAGTAGTGATACATTTTGATTGTTCTGGAATGGGAAAATGGTGCTTGTTGAAATATGGTTTATGTTATGAACACTGTAAACCCTAAGAATCTGAATGTCCTCAAAGGACAGAACAGCTTTTTAGACATGCATACTAACATAAAAATATTAGTACCATTTAATCTAGCTAGAAAATTATATATAGAGGGGTGTTAACATAACTGATGATATTCAGAGAGTTAAACGACTTGGCACAAGCTGATTGGTTCATGCTGCATATGCAGCCAATGAGCTTACTGCCTTGCTGGCTAGCATTCACTAGAGATTCCTGCAGCACATTCATTTATAATTTTATAATAAATTATATTGTATAACTAAAATAACTTTATTGTAAACAATTGAGTTTGTATCTCATAATTGCATCATGTACTTATGACTTTACATCTCAGTCTCTACTTTATTTTTCATAATTGTCACAGTGTGACTATATCTTATTTTAAGCTCTGTGACAATTACATGTTTTACTTTTATAAGAATAAATGGTTATTTGTAAAAAAAAAAAAAAAAAAAAAAAAAAAGTGAGTATAAAATGCTCAGTGCTTTGCTTGATGATGCTTGGTGATAAAAATAAAGCAATTAATGATAAACCAAGTGATTTATTTTTAGACCTTCCAGTAATGAATCACCTATTTAAAAAGAGGAATCAATAAAACCATCAAGCCAGTTCTGATTTTACATCATCCTGAATTCAGCACAGCCTAAAATTATTTTGAGAAGTATTTCATGAAGTTTTCCTTTGTAGGATATTCCTAGATATTTTCTGCCATCTTTCTGACAGGCCCTAAAAGTGTCACACTGTTCTTGAGTGTCAGACTTTCTCAATGTGAGTTTCAGACTTTTGTTGACAGTTTGACGCAGGTTTCCACTGATGGGGTTTGACTTGGATAACATTGCTAAGCATTTCCTTTCCCTGTCCACTCTACATCTTTCTAATCATTAGAGTCACCGCGCTCTGGATATGCCACTGCTCGCCAGACATACAGTGGCTGATGTTGTGCCTTTGTTTGCAGGATCTTCGGTCATGTCAGTCACCGCTCAGAATGGCAGCTGGTAAAGATAGACTTCAGGTCTATCTTTAACAGAAGATGCGTCGAGTCTGACTATGTGCCGTGGGATTTACATGACCAGGTGAGAAATCATTGTATTATTATAACATGTATCTGAATATTTGCCTAAATACTTGTTTCACACAGTGTTGTATGTTGATCTCTTTAAAGAAGAAAGAAAATGTGTAATTGTTCAAAATAAATAAATAAATAAATAATGAATGCTTTATATGATGTAACAAACATAAAAAACATAAAATTTTCACAAACTTTCCAATATTTTCTTTTATTTCATTATTTTTAATAGTATTATATTCCATTAAATTAGACATGTTTTCATAGAATCAGGTATTTTAGCATCACTGAGATCCTGTTTTTTTTTATTAATATTTTGAATTAGTTTTTGCTTTTATATTTTCTGTTTTAAATAAAGTTTTAGTAACTTTGTTGTGTGTTTTTGTAATTGTTATGTCCGTTCAGTTTTTAATATACCATGAATTAAGTAATGCATTTTGACAAAAGCATAAACCTAATGTCAGACTTGTTTAAAAGAAAAAACAAAAAAACAATATGACCTAATGGAAAGATCAAAAAAGTTTTCATATTGAATTTATATAATCTGAAATCTCAAGTTTGCAAACTGTAATGTGTGTCACTGTCGCCAACAACAAACAACTTTTAAGCTTTGATTAAAGGTACAAGGGTAGTATTTTCTGGAAAAGAAAACAAAAAAAAGGATTGCTCCAAGTTCACTCGGGCTCCGTTTTTGACAATCCTCTGTAAACGAATCTTAATGGCTTCCCCCGTCTGCGCGTCCTGAAGCGCTTGATCAGCGCCACAGCTCTCCCGACAACAATGTCCAGCAAAACATCCGAATAGTAGAAATCCGGTGAAATATCGGGTGGTGTGTACTTCCGAATGTCCAGCAATTCGTCTCTGGTGAAACTGATTTCAGGGATATAACTAAAGACAGGACAAACTAACAAAAACATAAAAACAACTGCAGAGCACGCCACGGAGGCAGCCATAAGCGTCGGCGCCATTGTGCATTCATTAATGTCCTTAACTCAACTTCTATACTGCATCTCAAGCCTTAAAATTAAGAGAGCCCAGTCTTGATCAGATACCTTTCTGCTTTGTCTGGTCTTTCCAGCATAATAAACCCTCCAGTGAGGCCTGACACTTTAGATTGCACTAAAGAGTGTGCCACATTGGCTTCCTGTTGTTTGAAACTTATGAGATTCCTTTCTAACCGGCCCTGACGTGCTTTTTCAGGGTCTGCTGCCGAGGCTATTTGAACAGGCTATTTAAATAATATATGCCAGAAGTCAAGTGTCCTCTCACAGGAGGATAATAGCACAAAACTAAAATAAAATCGCAGTATTTGGAGCACTAATTTGAAGGAAGCATGTTAACAAAAGACTAGGCAAAAATTTTTATTGCAAGATATATGAAATGTGAGTGAGAAGGCTGGAACCCTGAAATCTTTGATAAAATGAACCCCACAGAGTTCGGATGTGAGATATTAAATATGGAACAACCAAGTACATTGAGTGGAATTATTATAAATTTTTTTTTGTCTTTGTTTTCTCTCGTCTTCTTTCCAGTCTCTTATTTTTTTTTTCTTTTTATAAATTCATTGTGATGTGCACATGCTTTGTTGTAATGAATTCATGTGAGAACTCAAATAAACCTGAATGAGAACACCATATGCCAACTTTATGTAGAAAATATTTTGTGTGTGTGTGTGTGTGTGTATATGTATATGTTGAAATCCTCCTTACAGGGTGAACGCTGCCTCATGGGAGTCAAAAGAGTTTACCAAAAGCTGAGGCCTATAGCAAGGTGTGTTATGGGTAAAATCTACTCTGTCACAACGATTTCCGAGCCATGTGACTGCACTGAGTCGGACTTTGAGTGGTAAGCAAACAAACATTTTTCTTCTAAGATTCAAGCTCTATTCTAAAACTTTGATAACTACAGACTGCACTAACAAAGTGATATGCCAGTATGAAAAACCACAGCAAAATAGTTGATTTTTAATTGTATTCATTTTTTTAATTATCTGATATATATATATATATATATATACATATCACTCAAATGTTTGGTGTAATTTTATTTCATTTTATTTTAAGAACACATTTTAAAAGCTTAGTTCACCCAAAAATGAAAATCAGCCCATAAATTACTCACCCTCAAGTCATCCTAGGTGTATGACTTTCTTCTTTCAGACGAATCCAGTCAGAGTTATATTAAAAATGGTCTTTGATCTTTCAAGCTGTTTAATGGCACTCAGCGGGTGTTGCAGTTCATGACTCCAAAAGAAGTTAAATAAAAAGCGCCCATCCTTAATAAAAAAGTGTCTCACACAGCTCCGGGGGGTGAACAAAGGCCTTCTGTAGCGAATTGATGCGTTTTTGTAAGAAAAATAACCCTATTTAAAACATAATAATCAATTTAGTAAGTAAAAAGTAAGCTAAAGTAAGGAAACTTTGCTTCCTTTTCTCCTGTAAACAAACGTTGGTTTTCACGAGACTCACCGGCGCATGCGCAATGCCGACATCTTACATCATCCTCCCGGAGCTGCTTCTGTGTACAACTGTTGGCGCAAACTAGATTAAAGTGATTATTACATTTTGAATATGGATATTTTTCGTACAAAAATGCATCGATTCGCTACAGGAGGCCTTTGTTCACCCCCCGGAGCTGTGTGAGAGACTTTTTTTTTATGCATGGGCACTTTTTATTTAACTTCTTTTGGACTGATGAATTGCAACACCTGCTGACTGCCATTAAACAGCTTGAAAGATCAAAGACAATTTTTAATATAACTCCAACTGGATTTGCCTGAAAGAAGAAAGTCATATACACCTAGAATGACTTGAAGGTGAGTAATTTATGGACTAATTTTCCTTTTTGGGTGAACTAACCCTTTAATTCAGCAATAATGCATTTAATTGATCAAAAGTGACAGTAAATACATTTATAATGTTATAATTTAATTTAAAATAAATGCTGTTCTTTTGATCTTTCTATTCAATCGATGCTTGAGGATTAGGCATTTAGAATGATATATAGTTTGTCAAGATTAATTTTGTCCTGTTTCATTTAATCTATTCATAAACACTGACACATGCAAACAGAGTGTTCAGTGTGCCAGCGTCCAGGTGCGGGTTAACAGGTTAAAGAATTCCAAAAAAAAAAAATAATAATAAAGCAGCTTCTACACAAATTAAGCTGTTTTCAACATTAATAATATGAAGAAATGCTTTGTAAACACCAGAACAGCAAATTAGAATGATTTCTGAAGAATCATGTAACATTGAAGCCTGGAGTAATGACTGGAATAAATTACATTAAAAAAAAATGTTCAAATAGATATCAGTTATTTTAAAATTTAATAATATTAGTTTTTTATCAGATAAATGCAGCCTTGGTGAACAAAATAAACTTCATTCAAAATTTTTTTTTTAAAAATGACCCCAAACAATTCAGCAATAATGCATTTAATTGATCAAAAGTGACAGTAAATACATTTATAATGTTATAATTTAATTTAAAATAAATGCTGTTCTTTTGATCTTTCTATTCAATCGATGCTTGAGGATTAGGCATTTAGAATGATATATAGTTTGTCAAGATTAATTTTGTCCTGTTTCATTTAATCTATTCATAAACACTGACACATGCAAACAGAGTGTTCAGTGTGCCAGCGTCCAGGTGCGGGTTAACAGGTTAAAGAATTCCAAAAAAAAAAAAAATAATAAAGCAGCTTCTACACAAATTAAGCTGTTTTCAACATTAATAATATGAAGAAATGCTTTGTAAACACCAGAACAGCAAATTAGAATGATTTCTGAAGAATCATGTAACATTGAAGCCTGGAGTAATGACTGGAATAAATTACATTAAAAAAAAATGTTCAAATAGATATCAGTAATTTTAAAATTTAATAATATTAGTTTTTTATCAGATAAATGCAGCCTTGGTGAACAAAATAAACTTCATTCAAATTTTTTTTTTTAAAAATGACCCCAAACTTTTGAATTGTATGCATGTCAACAGTTGTCTCTTTAGAAATTATAGAAGAAATATCTGAAACAAAGTTCACACTTAAATGAAACATGACTGAGAACTCCATTAAGTCTCTCTAGAAGAGCTCTCTAAAAGAGCAACTTTTGAGCAATGACATTTTTTTCTAGGTAGTGTTGCAGCCAATGTCCTGTCTGCAAGACACATGCTAAAAGGGTTGAAGGGCTTGTGAATTAAGTTGGGGCTAGTCCTCACCAGATTATTTTTCAGAAGAGTTGCAGTAATTTTCTTAAAGATCTTTGCTAAGTGTAAACTAGTCAAGCTGAGTGAAGACTATATGGAAATAGACATGTGTTACTTCTTGAAAATCACAGCTACTCAATAGTACTGTTCTCTCCGTCTGTCACTACCCTCTCTTCTGTAGTATTTCATGCCCCACGCTTTGTGGCTTAAACCCTCCATTTGTATTCCTAACACTCTTTTCTTGTCATGTAAATGTGGCCTTTCTCCTTATTTTTCCCTGAATTATCAAAGTTATTAATGTCACTGTTCTGGAAAGTCCCAAACGTGCAGGCCCCTTGAGGCCGTATGGAACAAAGTGTGAAAGTTGGAGCATTAACAACAAATAAGACACTCCAAGCTTTCAAATGAACCCATATATGGGCTGATACCATATAAGGAAGGCTATGTAAATGAAGCATAACCATTTTTAACGGGATTTTGGACCCATATCCGGGTCTGCAGAGTTTAAGTGGTTTTAATCAGGGAGTGAAACGCTGTGTGTTAACCAACACAAGCTGCCTACATCTGTGTAGCATGTCATGGTAATTAGTGTCATTTGTTTTCTTGATTGGGGTGTTGAGTTGCCTTGACAAACAACTTTGGCTTGTATTGTCTAATGGTTAGGTCTAAAAATAAATGAATAAATAAAAAATGTAGATGTCAAAATTATTTTTGGAAGTATTTTTATGCTGACAAAGATTTTCATGCATTTGAATACAAAGATATCTCTCTCTCTCTTTCTCTCTCTCTCTCTCTCTCTCTCTCTCTCTCTCTCTGGGTTAGTTATTTGTTAAATGTTAACATGAAAGCGAGATGCTAGCACTGCTGGATACTATGCAATTTTTTATAAATTGTTAGAAATTAAAAATGATATGACTGCAAAGAAATACTAAATCTTTAAAGCATGTAATGAGCATAAAGACTTTTCTTGACTTGCCAGTATACTGAAAAAGATTTAGTCCATTTCATTAAGTATAATGTGGGTGACACTTAGACTTTTGCTTTAAATACCTATTATTCCTGACAGCTAATATAATTATTTCCATATAAAAGTGAGGATTATTCATGTTAATGAATGTGAAGATTGGCATTCTAACTTTAATATTATGATTTTTTAAGTCTTTCTCAATGCAAGTATTTTACAGTTGGCAAATATCAGTGTTTACTTTACCAAAAATACACTGAAAAATTTTTTTTAAATTGGTGTGGGATTTACTTACACAATTTTCACTCAGAAATTGCTAGTAAATTTCACAAATAATTTCAAAGAAATGTCAAAGTAACACACTGAATTAGACTACATTTTGAAGCAGGAAAACTTAAATTGTATTCTCTTATAAAATGTATTTAATATTTATTTACAAATTAAACAAATCTTTTTATTTATTTATTATTATTATTATTTAATGGTATAGCAGGGAGTTGACTGAGTTATGAAAGACAAATGTTAAAATAAAAGAAATGCCTTTTTCAGACCAATGGGATTCTGGCTCAGCGCTGTGAGATCTGGGTTGACAACTGTGTTAAACTGGCTAAACACGAAAGTCAAGAAGTAGAGACCTCATGGGCGTTTATGGTTTTTTTCACAGTGATTATGGCTTCGAGAGAAGAGCTAATGGGAAATGTACTCCGGCATTCTGGTTCCTCTCCTCCTCCATGTCTCGGACCTGTACTACAGAACACACGTTCCTCAACAGCACTGGGTGAGGTCTCATGTGACGCATGCATCTGTCTATTAAAAGTGATTATCCAATGTTCTCATTTAGATAGCTAAGTCAACGTGTATGTGTTTGTTCGTAAGATTTTCAATTAAACATGTTCGCCATCTGTATTCTCAAATGATTTTAATGCAGGACTCATTTCAAATGTTGTGTGTCTTTTCCCTGTTACAGCTAAGCAGACTAATGAATTTCAGTGTTGCCAACTGGTCATTTTGTATTGTAGGTTCAGAATAGGTTTATAAATGTGTGTCATTTGAATGAATGTCATGCGTATGTGTGTGTGTGTGTGTGTGTGTGTGCAGGTACAGAAAGGTGGTGTCTAATAACTGCACTGGAGGGGTGATGGAGCAGTACACGGCTCGTAGGCAGCTATGCCCTAGCCAGGCCCCTCGCGGCCTCCACTTAGTGACCAGCGAAGGGAAGCTAACGGCGACTCTTGCCAGCAACGTCACCTTCCTCGTCTTCCTGGAGGAGGTATAGAAAGATCCAGTGTTTCCTGCACTGCTTTCAGTGACAAACATACATTGACATACATGATATTTTGGGAAATTTGAGTTTGCAGTCTGAGCAGATAAAACAACTGCAAGAAAACACATCTTTCCCACTGAGTGCTAATGATAACTAGTAATTTTTATCAGTGTGAATTCCTATGAAAATTCCTATGTTCAGAAAGACTCACAAACTAAAGAGTGGTTTTAATTCCTCTGACAAATCCATCACTGGATATTATAATCGTAATAAATTATATAATTACATTTGTAATATGCATATTACTATGGTAACACTTTAGTTTAGGGACCAATTCTACTAGTTGCTTATTAGCATGCATATTACTAGTATATTGGCTGTTTATTAATACTTACAAAGTACATATTAATGCCATTTTCTTAAGCTTACCCCATACCTAAATTTAACAACTACATTGTTAATTATTGAAAACCAGCAAATTACAAGTTTATTGAGGGATAAAGTCATAGTTATTAGTGAAAATCGGTCCCTAAACTAAAGTGTAACCATCTACTGCTAACCCCCAAAGAACAGAGATAACCCTCATCCACCATAAACTGGGCATTGTAAGCTTGAGGTCTTGAGAAATCATGACAGACCATCTTGCCTGCACAAGAGCAATGTTTTCCCATGGTAGATCAAGCGCTCTGGGACAGACAAGATGTCTTCCAAAGCAGATGAACTGACAGCTGAATGAATCGTACACAGAGCTTTGCCAGTATTGTAGTCAGGAACAGTTTTGCTTTCTGCCTAAAAAAGGGAAAAATTCTCAGATATTACAGAAAGTTACAGAAAGAACATTTGTTCAGCAGCCTGGTTGTGTTTTTTAGCTAGACTCAATGATGTTGTTACCCTTTTTTCCCAGGGTGATGGATCGAAAACCAGCATAATGGTGGATTTCGGCGACGGAAATGCTTTCACCTACTCCAACGTGAGCTCTATCGAGGATGGCATTAAACACATCTACAAGAACGTGGGAATCTACCGAGTGTCAGCCACGGCGGAGAACAGTCTGGGCTCTGAAACGGTGCTCCTCTTCCTACACATTACGTGTAAGCCAAGACGTGGGAGGGCGAGTAACAATATGCACAATACAGACAGCCATATCGTATTCTGATTTAATATCCTTAATGTATTTTAAAGACCCACTGGGTCTGAGCACTCTGAACTCATTTATGCTTTATTGACCAGAAAAATCTAATTTGGCCTTGGTCGTATTGCACTCCACATTAAGCAATCTAGATTTCAAGCTTATAGCCTCTAACTGGTTCACGAGATTGGAATCATCCCTCTTAGTTATTGCCGACAGTAACTTCAGTGTATGATGAAGGTCCTCAGGAGACAAAATATCATCCAGGTCTGATAAACTTTACTTAATGCAATTTTTACAATTATGAATCAGTTATTTTTAGTCAATTAAAACCATACAGCACAATCAGTGCAGTCCAATCAATTCCAAACAAATGACTCTTTTGAACAATTATTTTAGGTGAATCAAACACAAAACAGTTTAGTCTTGTGTTGCTCATAAAACTCCTGAGACTTCATATGACTATATATATATATATATATATATATATACATATATGTATAAGGTACCTTATATATATAACGTATAAGGTAGTATTTTATAAAAAAATAGAAATAATTAAATAATAATTCAAGCAAGTTTTGGAGCCTTATTACACAACTATTTGGAATATTTCAATCTAATTCTCTTGATTCTTTATGGCAGAAAACAAACAGCATGCCTACATTAGTCCGATTCCCTAATGATTGAATCTTATGAGTCAGTTATTTTTAGTGAATCATAATACAGCACAACTGGTATAATCTGATTGCCAAACGGATGTCTCTTATGAAACAATTATTTTAAGTAAATTAAAACCATACAGTGTGAACCGTGTAACCCAACTGATTTCCAAACAAATGACTCTAATGAACGATTCCTTTAAGTGACTAACAGCATAGAACTGTTATGTTTGTTACGTTGTACTTAGAACTACTGAGACTTCTTATGACAATGGGCAGCATACATTGAGTAGCATTAAAAAAAAAAAAGTTACCACATTTGTTGCTTGTTTAATATTGTTGTTTAATGTATAGTTAATACCAATTATTGAATTGCCTTCATGCTGCCTCTACAGATTGAGAAGTCATTAAAAAGCATTGATTTCAGATGCACTTGCCCCTTAATGTTTTGAAGAGAGAGAAAGAAAAAAAAAAAGTGTGGTTGGTCATTTCACATGTTGGTCAAATGGCCTATTCCTGTCTGCATTGGTGGTTCTTGGCCAAAATATGGATTAGACTTTATGCCAACAATTTACAGACTTTTGAGCAGACAACTCTATCCTCTTATGTTTCAGTAATGTTGGAAGACGTTATTTTAACACATTCTACAAGCAGATGGCCTGAGTTTTTGTAGCTTTTTTTTAGTGGATGTTGTCACGGAATGCCAGGAGAAAACAAGGTAAGTTCCAAGTGCAGTTTATTTGAAAGTAACAACAGAACAAAAACGTTGCAAAAGGTAATCCAAAACCTGACCACAGAAAACACAAACTGAGAAGACAATACAATCAAGACGCCAATGACAGATAGAGAAGGCATGATATATATAGCTGGGATAATGCTTAGAGGGATTTCGGTCCAGAACCAGAACCCAGGGGGGCAACCAGGACGGAGCCAGAATCCTGTCAGGCAACATTGGTGGGACCGAAATCCCTCTCAGCAACTCAGGAGTACCTGAAAACAAGAGCAGAGAGAGTTTAGTCTCAGCGGACTCTGTGGGCTCCCGGAACGGAGCGGGCTCTGGAGTGGGCTCCCGGAACGGAGCGGGCTCTGGAGTGGGCTCCCGGAACGGAGCGGGCTCTGGAGTGGGCTCCCGGAACGGAGCGGGCTCTG